ATAAGATATTAAGGAATGAACGAAGGATTTCAGAATAAATGAATAAATACGATAAATAAATAAAGAAGCAAATAATGGAGCAAACGATCACACAAATAAGTTCTTTTAAAGAAACAAACGACTTTTAACACAGGCAAAAAAAAAAAAGGCAGACTGAGATAAAAATCCATGCATTGCTAAAGATGTCCTTGCACTGACCGCTATGTCCAAAGCAGTGACCACGTCCAAGCACTGCCCTGTCACCTGTCTCTCCAAATGTCCACAACTGGTCATTTACATTCCACACAGGGATACACCTTTTATTGTACAGATGTTTCTGCTCATTTTGCATGCAAAAAGCTGATTATGTGCACAAATGAACATGTCCCAGTACCTGTTTCTTTTTTATCTACATTTAACTGTAATCATAGCAGAATGGCACGGGTTGTTTGTGTGAACTTTATAATATACAGTTTATAGTGTCTTCGTTCCTTCTGACTCTCCTATAATTGCTGGTAAACATATACCAACTCTCTACACCCTAAAATCATCCCCCTGCTTGGCTTACCAGACAGCAATGATGTTCATCTAATCTGCAAAAAGTTGACTTAAAATCTACTTTAAATCTTATGTATTCTTTATAAATGACAATTACACAAATCAACTTTTATGTATTTGGTTATTTACATTTCTTTTACAGCATGAGATAAATTTAAGATTTTGTTCCTGCACATGTAAGATGGTCAGTCTGCATCTACTTCTACCATTGATTCGATCTGTTCACAGATGTCTTATCATTAGTTCTGCACAATTAAAGTGGATCTAATTATGGATGCAGAGTTTGTGTTGTACAGTATCAAATATTAATTTTTTTACAGATGGTCAAGATGTGAATACATTTTTTAAAGGTTAAAATCTCTTTCAAAATGGGTGCAGGGCATTGACTTTTCAAAGCTGAAATGTACAAAAAAAAAAAAAAAAAAAATCAATTACCAACTGCCACCTTTATCTGACCTCTGGACTAAGTGACCAAAAATATAATTTTTGTCATCTACCCTGCATTCCACTGGTGTCAAGTGACCATTAAACATAATCCTAAAACTCCTGCCACGATAATTGCCAAAACGTGAATTTTTTTACATTGCTTCTCTTTCTTTCTTTTTCTTTTTTTTTTTTTTTTGGTCTGAGGATTTGACTATCTTGTGTGGAATTCATAACTATAGCCACAAGAATGGGAGAGGCTGAAATGACACAGGATGATAATTGCTTGAAATTTTCAAAAAACTCACTCACTGCAGTCATTTTACTATTTTTACTAGATTAATTAATCAATTTGATATACAAAGAGAAAAACTCTGTATTTTCTGACTTGAAGTAATGTCACTTTTCAGCAATATTCCATTAATACTTGAAAAAAATTTTATTCACAGAAAATTGCACCGAAGAACATAATTCTTTGTTCAATCTCAATGAATAATTGCCATAAATGCCAAGTTTTTTGGTGTCTTAACTAGGGTCAAAAAGCTGTGCTCTCTGGATATTTTTCACCACCAAAAATATGTGGCCACAAGACTTTCCCCCTTGAAGTTGTAATGTCTGTTTTCTGATATATGTGTCTGTATGAAGTGTCTTTAGACTGGACATTATTCATATTTTTATCACTTACTGAGACATTTTATTAACAAATAGAAATATACTGAAAATCCTCAATTTTTTGTTTTTGCGCTTGAGCTTTGTATTCATATTGATATATATTGAAATATTCAGTGTAGGATGGGGCGCCTTAAAAAACTGCATAGCATCTGATATCTACTAGTATGTATATTGAGGTTTGGTAATGTTTAATTCTATTTACCTTAATTTAGCAAATTATTAGCCAAACTGGTTTAGAAAAAAATGTTATTCTCCATTATCAATATAAAAGTCACACTGACTCACTGAATAGTGATAACAGCTTGTTTGTGAGTGTGCACGTAAATTTACACATACAGCAAGTGTGTTTGTGTACCAGAAAGCTCATGTATATATGTGTGTGCATATATGCACATGCCCATGTGTGTGTGTGTATGAGAGAGAGAGAGAGAGAGAGAGAGGGAGGAGGAGGAGGAGTGGGGAGGGAGAGGAGGATCCAGTGCAAGATTGGAGAGGATCACAAGATAAATCAAGAGACTACAAATAAGCCAATATCAGCACATCATGGTGGGTCAGACACAATCATCTGCTATCTCTCACAAACAAGTTTACATCACAAACATGATAAAATGTGAACCATGCATTACATTCATATTTTTATCTGAAATTCTTGGAACAACACGAGTGATTGAGTAAACATTTCATCAACAAAGTTTTCCGAGTGTAGGAAGGTTTCCGGATATTTGTTCAGATTTGATGATAAAAACCACACCCTGAATGCTCAGCGTGACTCTAGGGGATAAGAGCATCATCAAATTCCAACTGTATTATTTTTCCAATTTATTTTTAATAAAATACATATTATAGTATCTTTTTACGACATTTTCCGTATATAACAATCTTTCTGTTCTCAAAACTACGTTATCAAATTACAAATAAATATGCTCACCAACATGTATCTATTTTTTGTTACGGTGCAATTAATCTATCTTTGTGGAGTAATTGCAATTCATAACTTGAACAGGTCATCCTTCCTTTTATGTATCTTATTGGTTAAACCATAAAGGTCTATGTACTGTAAATATTTTTGTTTACTTGCATAACAGATCACAGTTCACAAACCGTTACCCCCAACTCCACATCATGTGACACATTATAAACAAGACAGTCATCCTACTCCCAAACCAATGATAATAGTCAAGGTCACCCGTTATTTTTGTAGGAGGGGGCAAACATTACATCTTAGGTAAAATGTCATAAAAAATTAGACTGCAAAAAAATTTCTAGACCAAGAAAAAGTTTGGGTGCTACCTACAGTATTTCCTTCTAAGATTACTATTTTTCTCAGTCACTGCAGTTCTATCATTAAAATTCCTGACCAATAAAAAGTTTGTGCAATATGAACAAGAAACCAGTATTCTTTATTTTCAATTTGAGATTCTGTTCATCAAATCGTTTGTTAGTCAGTGGAATTTCATAAATTGACAGCCCATACATGTTACAGAATACCAAAGTTGCAATATGACATAATAAACATGAATGACAGATTAAAAGTTATAACACTTTGACAAGACAAACTGAAGTATCATCCCAATACATGAAGCAACAATATCAAGGCACTGACAGTTATAACATACAGGATGGTCAATGAAGAATGAGCTGGTGCTATACAATGACATCATCAAAAATGACATCATTAACAATTACATCATCAACAATGGCATCATACAACAGTGCGATGCAGGCCCTGGATAACTGCCGAAAGCTCTCAGAAAATGTATTTTTCTTTAACTGTGAATTTATGAGAATGGCTGTATATACTCAGAAATACAAGGGCAATGTTATTACAATTACATTGTTTTTTCTTTTTTTTTTAACCAACCTACAGTAATAGCACTATAAAAGTGGCAGCTTCAATGCTATCATCATTTTTAAACTTTCCAAATCAATTATGTGATACTTCAAACTTTCCGGTGAAAACATCACATGTGTCAATTCTGGGATATTTTTGTTTTTTTTTAATTCGAAGAGCTAGATCATTTTAGTTAGGCACTTGAAATTTATAAACAAATCCTGAGATATAAAAGTTTTGTTAGCAATGTAAAAATATTAGCATTTGCTAAATGTAGCCACATTGTAAACTGTAAGGCACAAGTGGTGCAAGGGCATTAAAAAAAAGGGGGGGGGGGGGCAATAGGTTTTCTCTTTTTTATATAAATTAACCCCCTTCCTTGATGCATAAACCTTTACCCTGTCAACTGACTTCATTAACCATTCATGTGACATGTTTACTGTATTTCATATCACATTATACATATCTACAAATAACAGATTAACTAATATGCCAAACCCGAGACCTTGTTAACTGATTAGTTGCAATCAACAATCAGCATGTGATCAGACGTGGTTTAATAACTAACAGCAATTCCATTGAAACATGCATTTTAAAATGCAACTTGCTGCTGTTTATGTCACACCCAGTTTATGTATACATTTCTAAATTATCAAAATATCCCAATTGATTTTGTGATTTTGTTTCAAGTAAACAATGGTGAAACTCAAAGATTTAACTAACAATTTAATGTACTGAGAGCTATGAGGAGAATATCCACTTATTTGCCACAGGTATTGAAGGGGGCATACAATCACCAACTTAGACCCCACTGTACAGCTCACTGTGATTCCCCACTATCAAGCACCTGCCTACATGTCTGTGCATGTCATCAATTGGTCAGCATGGTAATCATATGTTGTTAAACAGGGGGAAAAGTACAAATTATGATAAAATAATTGCTGAGGGGAGAAAAAACATTGCATGTGTGTACATATCAGGATTTCTGCTCTCCAGTATTGTTGTTTACAAGGAAACCATTCACACTTGGTTGAACATGCTCATCAGCACCTGTGGATTTGTTTTAAAATGGTGTGTTATTAGTTAATGGAGGATTGCATATATCCCCACTCTTCTCTAATGGAAGTTTGCCCTTCAGCAGCAAATTAAAACAAAGAAATTCAAAGTTATTCCAGAATGTAAATTACACATTTAGAGTAATAAAATTGTATTTGATAAAATCTCAAGTCAACACTGAAAAAGACCCATAAAAAGCTGAAAATTTACCCTCCATTTGCATTCATGATGACATAAAGACATAAATGTAGACAGCATTCATAAATATATCTCACCATGAATAGCAATGATGGGAAAACATTCATCAATGACACAAACACAAAAAAGACATGCATATGAACAACAATGCACATGCTTTAATCATAATTTACTCATATGAAGCAGAAAGTGTGCAAGTGCGCACGCACACACACACATACACATGCGGGCACATACACACACATATACACACACACACATCCCCAAATTTCACAGTACCTACCAGTCCATACACCCTGATGAAATAGGAGCGTTTCTCGTTGTCCTTGATGAACATGGCTACCCCAGTGCAGCGTTTGCTCCATCTGTTGAGGGCGGGGGGATTGCTGGCCAGAAACACCTGTACCACTGCGGTCGCAACAGTCTGTAATATTGACAAGAAATTGACAATATACTAGTACATGTATGCATGTGCATTAAGATCAAGAGCTATTATGTATGACATACCCATTAAAAATTAAAGTTGAGAGCTATTTTCAAGTACGAGGAATGATTATTTCTTTTAAAACAACAAGGATGTGCAGTATATTTGTACATATATGGGTATATTGATGAATATATGTTAAAGGGTATTGAAAAACATTCTTATTTCTCAAAAATCAGCATTTCTTACTTTCTTTTTTTTTTTTTCTTTTTTTTTGCAAAGTAAGTGAAGAGAAAAAAGCATCCCTCAAGTTGCAAAGCTGGCTCAGCATCCCATGGTGAAAGTGAAAGTGCACAGTCCCTCTTCAAAAGTTGTTCAATGTCAAAGCCCTGGTTTAACCTCCCCTTTAGTAAAGATGCTCCCTAATTACCAAGCTTGTTAAAATCCCTGTCTAAAAGTTCAAGCACCACAGAAGTAGTGACCCAGAAAAATAGAATTTTCTCAATAGAGGGCCAAACAGGTTTCACACAATCCCTCTCAATGCGGATCCACAAAATAACTGCTTCTTATCCATGTCATGAGATATCTACGTCAGCAGTTATATAAAATGAAGAAAAAAACCTATTCATGCAATTTATCGCTGCGTGCACCTTAAAGAGGACGCTTAAATGTGGCGAAAATTCTTCTATCTGATCAGACCTTAATCGACGGCCCCTGGATATACCCATGTAATGCCACTCCTTGCAGGAAAAATACTTCAATAACAATTTTTGAATTGAAATAGTGACAATCCTTTTGCATCCCGTCAAATCAGTGATTTAGGAATGCAGTAAGCTGCAAATTGAATCGGTGTTTATTCTCTTGTATAAGCTATCAACCAACAGTTACTATTGATGATTCAGAATGTTCTTCCTATCACAGTGTTTCATCTCATTTTTTTTTTTTTTTTTTTTTTTTTGAGAAGTTCATTTCCCAGAATTCTCTCGTAAAATCAATTTTACTAGTAATTTTGCCTGTTCTTTTTCTTTTTACTACCAGTAGTGCATACTAGTAATCAATTTGTCAATATGTCTCCTTTATGTAGTTTAGGGGAGAGGGGGTAGGTACTTAGGCCAGCATCCCTCTCTCCGATCACCCCCTCCCCCTTAGGACTACCAGTATCAACTAACTATGATTCACAATCATAAAGTCACTCTTCAAACAATCTAACCAGGCTACAGTACATTTCCGGCCATCTTAAGTTATCAGTGGTTTCAAAATTATCTAATGATCCTTATGATGTTGACATTCCGTCCTTATCACTTACATTGAAGTTATGAATACAAGAGACTCGTGGTTTTCAAAGAAGTCTATCTAATATCTTCATCCACTACAAAGAGCACTCAGTCCTGGGTGGACCCCACCCACTTCTAGTCAAAACTTACAACTAGGCAAGATAAGGACCAATATGATACACAAAGAATGGCAGAAACATTTGTGATACCTTCTGGTTACCTACCATCACCAAAGAAGTGACTTTTCTTCTCCATCAAGCCCGTCTGTTTACATTATGATTTATAAGTTTATTAAAGCACAAAATGTGTCTCAGTTACATTAATTAACATATTCTCTATTTTGAATTCATTTCCAAATCAGTAATTCATCAGTAACAAATAGATGGTAGAAAATTAAATATATGCCAGAATGGTAATGCAATTCAATTGTGAGACGTGCATATGAAAATCTTGTTTTTCATAGTTTCCTTCTAGAATACTCAATCCATTGCACCAACTTTATATATATGTACTGTAGTACTAGTAATGAACTGAAAGTAATATTTCAACATGTCTTCTCAATCTCATTTATTCCCTTAACCTCTAGACAATTTTCTTCCACAGTGGAAATGAGATATGCTTCACCTCTATATACATTAATATTAAGAATTTTGAAATGAATGAGATGTCTTAATCCTTTGTGTATGGTTTCTGCGAGAAACAATAATTCCATCAATGAGTTTGGAACTTAATTTCAGTAACCATAACTCTTCTGGGAACTGCTTTCAGTTTCAATTTTCATCTGGCCCACTCTGGCATTTTAATGAACCAATTAACTGAAGCCCATTAATTAAGTTAGCAGCTAACGATGAATCCATCTGTTTATAAACTGCTGTTCCTGTTTCGTGCCAGCAATAATTAACTCAGTGTCATCAGTCAAACCCAATAAGAGCACAGCAGTTACAAATGTCAAATTAATTCATAATTATACAGGACTTTTGTAATGAACAAAGAGCAATATTCTATACAAAGTGCCAAAACATTTGACAAGATAGAGCTGAACTTTTCTTTTGTGTCATAAGTAACGACTCAATTTCAGCAATGTAATAATGAGGATAAATTCTTTGAACTGTTCACTTCCTAAAGTACCACTATTATAATCAATTTATAGAGGTTTCTACAGAGTAAGCTGAAGGGGATTCAGAACCTGTGGTGATTATGTGCAAATATGTACCAACTAAAGCCAGGGTTAAACCTTAATACCAATTTGAAGAAGTAAGAACATCATTTCTGCTCTGGAAACAACCTCAAATACATTGACACAAATTTATACAGATCAGATAATTATATTATGAACATATACAATTCTTATATATACATGGTAATCTTAATTGATCCACATTGATCTTATAATTAGTAATCTGCACACTGTCTTTTTCACTATAAACAATAGTAACTGAAGTAATTGAACTTCATAAATAAATAAATAAATAAATAAAATACTTATTTTGATGGATGCGCCACATTATTTTCTATCTTTTGGAAGAAAAACAGAAAAACTCTTTTCTAGCACATCACATACCTGACAGACAGTGATGGTTAGGGTATGTGATAATTAACCCTAGGGGAACAGGGTCAATCCTGCCTTAATTACTACCATTAATTAGCTAGTTATCAGTCAGAGCCCCTGCCATGAAATTTGACCTGATACAGTACATGAGTTTTACTCTGAAACCAGAAGAGATCAAATGAGGATGAGTCTTTCACGTGAACTGGACTTGGAAGGAAAAGCTTAGAGCGCATTCTCAACGAATTAAGCCAGGCTTTACAAAGCCGGTGACCTAAAAATGGCGGACGTACATGAAAGAAAAACCGCCTAATCTTTTAATAGTCTCTCCGCCTCCCCACACGTCGTCCCTGCGGGGTACAGTAATTAAATCGCGTCTCCGTTCGCCATGCGGAAGCTACCTGAGAAATATTAAGTGCGCATGCTCATCAGTTAAACTCGTGGTGAAGAAAGCATGGCGGCTGAAGGCGATCGAAGGAAAAAAGCTCTTCTGTTCTATTATCTTTGAAAACAGAGACGAAAAAGGAATAATTTGGCCCGTAGAGCAGCAATGAATCGACTATCTACGGAGATAATATCACCAGAGATATTCACGGAAATATTAATGTTCGGAGCCGAGATTTAATTACTGTACCCCGCAGGGACGACGTGTGGGGAGGCGTGTGAGAGGCGGAGAGACTATTAAAAGATTAGGCGGTTTTTCTTTCATGTACGTCCGCCATTTTTAGGTCACCGGCTTTGTAAAGCCTGGCTTAATTCGTTGAGAATGCGCTCTTACAGTACAATACAGCCACCCTTTCCTATCATTCAAACTTCTGGGTCTACCGAGGTACTTACAAGGGGGGGGGGGGGAGGTTTATGTCTCTAAATATTGCATTGGTTTGATATTTGCTAGCAGACAAGACTTTTTTAAAATTATGAAGAAATTTTCAAAGACAGCTTTTCAGGAGAAAAAGAAGTGATTACTAGCGGAATTATTAATTAATTCTTGGTTTCCAAATATTTTAAAAATAATTTTTGTATTTTTCCTTGACTGATGTCTGCACTCTATAATATTCTAAAGCATAGATTTAAGTCTTCGTTTATGTCCTAACAATAGGTATGAAGCCATAAGTTAGAAACTAGCCAATATCAACTGGATTTCACTTGTCAGTAAGATGTCAGCTTATAGAAATGACTTTATCTTCCTAATCTTAACCAAGGAAACAATTCTCATTCTATAAATAACCTTGTTTTTGGTTATGAATACTGGCAAAATAGGATGACATTCTACCAGGTAAACAGCTCTTTCAAGAAACAAACAGCACATGTGCATTTCAAAAGATATAGATCTACTATCTGCCCAACTCTGTGAAGCCCATTGCCTTGCAAAATACTTTAGTGGCATCAACTTGGCCTCAGGTAAGAAAGCTGTGTAGCCTTATTGTTTACCATTTCCTGACTTTATTTTTGTCTTCATTATGATGAGGAAACTGCTGTTTATAACAACCACTGCATTCAAAACAACACAAACTCATAAACATCCTGATGAGCTGTGGTGGTTCTAGATAACAATCTACCTCTGTACCTTTGATCAGCAGCTTGTCCACACCAACTAGATTCAGAACAATAAAAAGGGAACAGCTAAACACAGTTTTAAGATTTAGAGCTGACGTCTCAAATCTTCTGATGTACAGATACCTATAATTTACAGCCCTTGCATCTCTTTAACAAGGTAGCCATTAGCAGCAATAATTGCCTGGGTTTACTTCTATGGGTTTTTACCTATCCAAAATAAGGTAGTAATTAATAGCTTTCCTACTTGTTATCAGATTGCATACATACATCATTCAAATGTAGCTTCAGAATCTTTTACATTCTCGTTTCATCTTGTTGGATAGCTTTTTGCCTTTCAGTGGGTTATTTTATTCCATAAAGTAGAAACCATTAAGAGGAATTTGTTGTTTTGTTTTGCAAACTAGCTTATAGTAATTAGTTTGAGGAAAAAAATAACGCAGGTCCCCTAATGCACAGTTTGCTTAGCATTTGATTCTGACAGATCAAAAATGATATTCTTGCCTGTAAATAAATTTTGGAGCAAAGAAAATATTAAAAAATAATGCAACGATAAAGGTATTTGTCAGCAATTCTAAAAGGACACTTCTCACTTATTAATACCACACTGAAAGCACTTTGATAGCAATTGAAATATTTATAAAATTTATACATTAAAATATTTAGAGGATGATGTCAACTTTTTAATTAAGGGCAGGGCATCATCAACACAACTGCGTTAAAACCTACCACACAGCGATTTCCAATTAAGTTAAACAGGATTTCGTTCTCGTTGGGTGCCAGAATGAGAGACGGGCTATTCTGAGGTCTTGGTTTTTTAGGCTGGTTTGACATAGCGGCGAAATTATTGTAAAAATCTTCAAATGTTCACTCTATCACTACTTCCTACTCCTTAAGCATCATCACGCATGCGCTACAGATTATCTGAGTTCCGGCAAAGTATAAAGCAAAGTAGCGCGTGCTTTAAAAGGGTAAAGCCGTTTCCTTTGTTTTAAATATTGAAACTTTCAATGATTTATTGCTAATTATTCTTTATCTTTTAATTTAAGCTATGGCGTATTCATTTGTTTCCTTACAATGAAAGTGGCAATTTTATGTAATATGGCGTATGAATATCTGCGGGGGGCAGGTCAGAGGTCACAGCACCTGACAGGTCAACTTTGACGAGGTTGAAATCCACAACACAATGAAAGGTGGCGGTGTTTACTTAGTAGGTCGCTCCGCCTCCTGCCGGCTGATCGTTATGCTAACACGTCGATAGCCACGAGACTTCACCGATATCTGACATGCAAAACAGGCAGTGAGGAAGTGAGTGTAGCCAGTTGGTATTATGTGTGTGAGCCGGTAGCATACAGATTTCGCTCACTCTGCGGATAACTTAAATTTATGATTTATTACACAGGGAAAAACACACTCGGAGTGTTGGGACTGCATCGGGGATATTAAGGCCCGATAATTTTACACGGAGTTACTGAAGATTTTGTTAATGAGATGAAATTTGAAGAACATATCGGGACTAATATTGATATGACAGGAGGAAGAGAAGGAGGCCTTCTACCAGTGAGCATGTCGACACCACAGCAAATTGTGAGACATGTCCACAAACACAACCTTAGACAGCGGTTTGAGCTGGTCAAAACCCTTGGACAGGGGACGTATGGGAAAGTGAAACTTGCCATTGATAGAGCGACGGGACAACAGGTAAGACAGCTGTCCTTGACGTACAAGACAGGCACACACACGCTTACAAGAACACACACACACTCACACACACACACACACACTGAGAGAGATTTATGTGGAAATGAATATGTTATAACTGCAATGAAAATCGTGATCATTTTAATTTTTTTTCATCAATTATAACAAGATGAGGTAATTTCAAAATATTTTGGGGTGATTGCATTTTTCAAAGTTAAGATTTGATATTACAATTATATGCAATTTTCCTGTATATAAATTCACCGTTGGCAATAAGTTTGACACATAAATCATATGTAATAAAGTAATAGCCCATAGGCAAATGTTTAACCATATTGAACAAATGCAGTTTATGGACCACCAATGAAATAAAAAATCAAAGCATACGTTAATTAGAATATGGCAATAAATCACAAAATTATGAAAATATAATTATTTCAAAGAAAAAAAAATACAATACTTTGCTGTATGCGAAAGTTGGAAATTTTTTTCCTAAATCTGTTTCCTTTGTTTTCTTTGACACCCATCATAAATAATCAACCTCTTTATATCCTGGTGCAATGCTGATCCTGTAGATGTATTTATGATAAGGGTCCCATAACCCAGCTATATATCATGGAAAGTGCAAGATAGTTATGCCAGATAGCAGAATATCTCAGTAAGCTAGACAAATCTTCATTGTTCTCTTAAGTGCGGTCTTCAACCCCGAGACTGAGCTTTCACCCAAGTACACAAGGGTTGTGGAAGATCTTAAATGGTAGATGAGTTTGTGTATACTATTTCGACATTGGAAAGACACTGTCATTATTAGATGTGTTAACTTATATATCTAAATCTGTAACAGACATACACATGGCTAAGGCAAGGCTGGTGGCAGCCAGCCCGACAGCCGGTCTGACAAGAAAATGTTGCCACTTAGTGAGGTGATATTAGCACATGCGGCTTAGCTTGAGTCCTAATGGCACTTAATATCCCCAGCTGTGCTGAGAACTGGTTATGGGACCATTAGCATAACTATATCCCACTGTGGTTTACTATACTTGAGTTTTTTGTCCTTATTTGAGATGTAAAAAAATGAACGAGTTTATCTCTGTGGCAGGGATTATATAATATAATATGTGGTTTAATTGTTGTTTTGAAATCTTTAACTTATAACAGTCACATTTTTTACCACATAGACATATATATATTTTTTTTTCTGAGACAGAGGAGGGGGGGGGTATTGTATTGAAATTGGGAAATGATGAATGAAGCCCATGACATCAAGATAATTAGTATATCACTTGGGGAAAAACTTAATTTAAATGAAAAAATAAGCATAAAAATTTTAAAAAATGACAATAGAGTCCACCAAGTGGAATATCTTGAAGCAAGTTGCAACTTTCTAAAAGGTTCTCTGTCCGTAAGCATCTCCATTCTGAAGTCCCTGGGGGTGGTTATACCATCCAGTGTAACAAGTGTCCATGTACCCCAGGTATTCCCCAGGTCCCCCTCTCTCCCCTGTCTGCACTGGTCTGTGCACAAACACCTGTACATTATGGTGCCAGTGTTATCAGACTGCCGTAACGCCTGAAAGTGAAAGCCAGCCATTGTGGAGATCTGATGAGTGTGCAAACACACCATCTGGATGATTGAGCGCGAATGGGTTTGCGTACGTGGCAGCTTTTATTCTCATAGGGCCCTGGAAGCTTCGGTATTTCACCGTTGAAAAGCCGTCGAGGTTGGCGAAACTTTGAGGGGGTAGCCTTGTACTGGTTTAAGCCCTTCGTTTAGCTAATTGTTGATCTTGACATAATAAAACCAGGTTAAAATAGGTGGACCAACGTAGGGGACATTTTACATAATGGCCAGTTTAGGCCAAGCACCCCATTGGTCAGTCTCTTGACCGGAGTATTTACTGGTTGAGAGAGTTAAGCACATTTACCAACGGACAGCTCCTTATGCAACATTGTCAAAGCGTGAAATGTTGTGGGATAATATAAACATTACGTCAGCTTACAAACAGCACAGTACTTGGCATGTATTGATTTTTCTCGACTGTATGGCTGTAAAAATGTCTGTCACAAGGCTGATGCAAGGCAAAGATGAAATGCATGTGTTATATTTTAGGTCATATACCAGTAGAGTATGTGTCTAATAAAAAAAGGTCTGAAAATTTTCTGACCTCAGAATTTTTTATGAGATACAGGTAGTAAATATGTTACACTTGGGTCAGGAGCAAGAAACAAAACTGGTAAAAAATTGGATGACTACAAAAAAAATTTTAAAAATTGAAAATTTTATCCTTTATCTTTTTATGCAAGCCTAGGCAGATATACCTGTCACTGCTCACTCAACCATGATTTTTTAACTTCATGGGTTCCTCCGTCTGTGAAAATGACACAACACGGCAAATCCTCACTTAGGGAGATAAGGGGCCACCATTTAGCCATAAAACAAGGAAGAAGACACCAAAACCCTATTTGAATCTCATTATCATTGGTTAAGAGGTGAAACCTCATAGGAAATCCCTGTCTTAAGGTTTAGGTCAGCGCTCTAATTTTAGACCCTTTTCCTGTAATTAAATAGCCGTTTTGAGGTTTTGAACTTGCAGTGGCCACAATGGTTAACAAAAAACAGATTGGTTTGATTGTTGTTGAACATCTTTAAAGGACCTGGCGATAAGGTTAAATATTTTAACTGTCCAGCATTAAAAGTGTGTATGGGGGGGGGGGGAGGAGTTAGAAAATGGAGTACAAGAGAGGCTATTGTAAAGAAGGGCCTGCATGCCAATCTTAACCTCTGATTACTGCCAGACAATGCAAGCAGTGAACAGCGTATACTTCAGACATGCAAAACAGAAACATTTCAGTGGTTATAGCATGTTACGAGTGGGTTTTAAAGTAATTCATTCTCCAAAAAAGTGGAAAAACAAGTTATGTTATCGCGTTACTGCCCTGGACATTTCCACGAAATGTTTGCCATAAGATTGTCACAGTGGAAAAGAAAGATAAATTGTCCCCCTTAAATAGAAAAAAAATGTCTGCCAACATCTGTCACATATATTTGACATATCCAAATTAACTTTTCTGTGGTAGACATTGCAGCTGGTAGATAATGAAAATTGAAATGAAAGACGTCAAGTTGAAGTAGGAAAAATATGTCCGTGGGCTTATCACACCTGAGTGGCAGAGTGGAGTGAATGGAAAGCCCCCCCTCTGATTTCATTGATAACACAGAGTTCTAAATCTGTCAGAAGTGTAATAAATGGAAATGTTGATGCTAGGATTATTACACGAACATGGCACGAGGAGGGGGTTGTTTTTGCTACCTACCTTGTTTGGCTTTAATTTCTGAAGATTAAGTATAATATTGTTATACTTCGAATGTAATTATTCTAAGAGGAGAGTGACTTTACATTGGGGCTGAAATCATATAGTTATATTTATAAACCTTCATTGAATTGGATAATTTTAGAGTCAATTATAGAACTACTTTTAAAATATTTTTGGTACCCCCACAACGTGGTCTCAGCTCCTGTAGATGTATAGAACGTGCGCGGGTGATATTTTAACTCTAAGAAAATAATAAACTTGCCGTCTATGGGAAATATGAATACCAAGTCCCAATATTATTATTGAAATTATTAATGGCATGAATGCAGTAGAATGGAATCTCACCTTTTTACCCCCAATGAAACACAAAGGGCTAAAATGAAGCGTAAAATTGGACCATGCAGTCGAATTCTCCGTGTATTCATACCTGTGAAGAGACGGCCTTTTTTCTATTGATTTCTGCTATAACTTAGGTAAACAACAGTCGGACGAAGCATATTTGCTCAAGTATACCGGTCTTGCTGGACTGGGTGTCTTTGTTTGGATTTTTTTCTTTTTAATTAATATTTTCAATAGGGTTGACATTCTTCACTGGTGACAGCATGGATGTTGTCAAGCAACAGCGCTACTGTCGGGACAACTAGACAAATAAATGGAGATCAATGCGGATCTGTTTTCCTTCAAATATGAAAACTGACATTTACCCAGTGGTAATATTACCAATCCAATTTCCCTCTACCTGGCAACATTGTGCTCAGTGTCATAGATCCAACGACTGATGTATATTTGATGATGAATTACATTAGATTCCAAAATGGCAGAGTTCAGCCCTCATATTCAATATTTGTATTGGCGGCAAAAAAAAAAAAAAAAAAAAAGGAATGTTTGCCAAGTGTTCTGAATAGAGGCTGTTGTTATGCATTCTATGGTGTGTACCAACTCACAAAACTCACAAGAGACCCTCATATGGTGATAGATGGGGGAGGGTGTAATTCAGTAACACCATATTTTGACCTGCTGTGAACTGTACCATTTGTGAATTTTACATCATAAACACTCTCCAGAGGGAGTTGCCATTTACTTGAGGAGCATCTCCACAGATGGCCTTTATTTTGAACTAAATATAGAATTGTTTACTCCTGGTTTTCAAATTCTTTAAATTCCCGGCCTAATTCAGCGCAGGTTTTTATTTATTTGGATTGGTGTCTGTGAAAAAAAAATACAGGGAGGAAAGTTTAGCGGGAGGATGGAAAGGAGTGTACTGAAATTTGTGCCAACACAGTCGACATATGTTGGGTTTAGATTTTGGCAATTGGAACCATGGTGACTATATGTTTGCTGTAAAGAACATTCTTCCTTGTAAACAACACCTGAAAATAAAGCACTGGATTCCTGCTAACAGTCAATAGAATGGTTAACGGACACCTTTTTTTTTTGTATTTCTGGAAAGAAAGTGGATATTTTCCATGTTAGGTTATAATTTAGTTAGCAAAAACATGACACTGGCATTAGAAAAGATAACAGAGTCAGTTGAATGATTTTGATGACTTCAAGGAAATTAATTTGAGAAACAAGTGGCATGAAAAGGTGTGAAGTAAGGTGATATTCCTGTATACAGTATTATAAAAGCTGTCAATATTAAATACAGATTAATTCAAAACTGACATTGAATCTCATGATGGTTTTTATTTTTTGAAAATCATATGTGCTCTTTTGAAAGAGGTGGAAACTAGCTCACATACTCCAGTGCTTCGTTGAAAGGCATGTGCCAGAATCAAGAGAAAACATGATTTAATATTCAAACATGACATTTATGAGTGGGTATATACTGTACACCACCAACGCCTTAAAGCAGGTAATCATCATCACGAGCTGTTCAGAGAGCATGTCTTTATCATCTACAGTTACAATAACCTTCGCACAAAGTGGGGCACTTCAAACGTGCAGTAATGCCGTCATTTTGTGGAGGTTGGATACCAAATACCCTTATCTGTATTGTAGGCATTGTACTAGAGTATCGCTAACAAGGCATTGTTAGTTTCTCACACAACGCCCCTTTAAGTGTCTTTTCCCACTTCAGAATTAATTTTACCACAAAATGACATCACCTGTGCTGAAAAAAAAAAAATCGCCGCCTTTTGCTACGACTTTTTAACATCCCACCAGTCAATGAACAAATGAAATGTTCTGCTTTCCTTGTTCCTATTGTTTGGGTTGTTCTCACTTCCATAGTTCTGATGTTATTTTTCCCCCGTTATGTCTAGATTTGTCTATGTACTTGTCAAAGAGGCGGTGAGACGCCCACCTTACTTTGTCGTGAATAATGTATGTCATCGTGCCACAAATATTCTTTAATCGGTCTCAAGTGACGGTTGAATTGTTGACTTTTGTTGTGTTTTTAGTTACAGAGCTCAAAATAATGGCGATTTAAATATTTTTTGGGTGACATGTCATTATGGAGTAGAAATAAGCAGAGTGTGAAAGATTTATTTTGATGGTAATTCCATACTTCTCTGAAAAGTGATTTGAATTGCTTAAATTACCTTTTTTTTGACAAAAAAAGTGTGATTGAGACTTGGAAAAAATCTCATCTGATGGTAGTTATTGATATCTCTTAAAAATGATAAGATGAGTGAAATTTTCTTTTTCTTCTACTTTATCGAAGTGAAATAGTACAAAGAATATCTTATCAACTAAGTCAACATTACATCATTCTTCATTCCTCCCAGCATATCTTACTCAACATGAAATGATGAAAGATGAAAGCTGGAATTTATCTTTCATCTCTAAAAAAATGCGCTGTAATGCCCCGAGTTCACACTTAGGTACATAGAGCCCACTTAGCAAGTGAGATTTTTTGATTTGCAGCGGAAATGGCTGACCTGCGGAAATACATGTGACGGCTACATGCGATGCTTTGCCAGACTAATTTCAGACACAAAGTGATAGTATCTCTGCTTTTCATTTATACACTTTCACTCTTTAATAAAGAGTGTTCCAGGTCAAGACACCTGATCCCGTTAAAAAGGAAATAACTGAGAAGCATTTTTTACGTGTATTAAAAAAAGTCGAGGAATGTGGACTGCACTGAAATCTCTGTGATGAAACCTGAGATTAAATACCTTTTGCATTGTTTTATGCAGTATCAGCTTATCTTTATGGACGTTGGTGTCAAAATGTCACCATTTGAAAAGTTTTACTGTTCTTTTAATGAGCGTAAGAGAGTGAGAATGTAATGTGAGGTATGATGATAAAAGTCTTAAACAGTTGCAAGGGAAGAAATAGGCCCTTTTAAAGGGGACAGTCATTACACAAGCTAATTGCATTTAAGAGTGGTAATTCTGCTGGTTACTTGTGATGGTATTTAAGATAAATTGTATATTACTTATATCACTTGTCTAATCGCCACATTAATATTAAATATTATCCTCAAAATAACTTTAATGAGACATAATCTGAGTGTCATCTTATTAAGAAAGCAGGGCTTAAGCTCATGGTTAACACAGAGTGTAATTTATTATGATCATAGAAACACATACAAATGTTCATTATGATAATTATGAATGTCCGATGCTCCTGATGGTGTTTCAATTAAATAATTCACAGCACTTTATATACTTAATCTTTCAAGGCCATGTCATTAAGACTTGTATTAAGTATTCAGCCATGCATGTTGAATGAAAAATGTGCTCAAGGTTTACTTAGACACGTTAAATTTTAATCCTGTTTCAAACATTTATTTACTTTTTACCTGGATCATAATAATCTCAATGAATTTTTTCTTAAATTTTGTTGTGAATTTTTTAATGTTCATATATTTGCAGGTGGCAATCAAATATATACGCAAGACCAAGATTGACAGTGAGCTTGATTTGCGGAGGATCCGCCGTGAAATTGACATCATGTCTTCCCTACACCATCCCCATATCATCAGCATATATGAAGGTAATTTTTTTTTCTAAATTGTTAAATTTCAAGAAAAACAATAAACAAAACCCTGTAATTAATATCATATTTATGTACAAGCAAATGTGCTTGTACATTTAGCCATCACTGAGTCTGTTTACTTTTTATCTGTCATCACAAGTAAGTATTTTTCATTAAAAAAAAACTTTTAGCCTTCACTTGGCAGAAACTTTTCATTCATTTTTACCTGTCATGAGGACCTTGTATGCTGGCACGTAATAATTTTCATCAAATGCAAATTGCTGTGCTTTTAGAAATAAAAGATGATGATATTTTGATATTTTTTAATTGAAATCACACACAACACACAAAGTTTGATTTGGCTAAAACAGATGTTGCATTGGGGGAGGGGGGTCCTTGAATTCCCACACATGATGCAGCGTGAGACTTCCTATTCATGCCTGCAATTACTGTTAGGTCAGCTACTGTGTCCCCTATTACAGGCAAGGAATGCATTACAGGCCACTAGTAGCAGTTGGACAGCGTGTGACAGACGGGCAATGACATTTTTTGGTGCTCAGGATTAAGTTTTGTCATGAAACATACAAAGGCCTCCTCTGTGTTTTTCCGAGGGGGGTTAAGTATGATTGTGTGATGTGATGGCGCATTAAGCAGTTCTAAGTTGGGAGAGACTTGAATTTCTGTCTTTGTAGGCAGGATGGAGGAGGAGGGGGGGCATTTAATGCACTTTTAATTAAATTATTAAAATGCAGCAGTTTACGTCTTTTTCAAAATAAATGTGCACTTTGAATTGCGTAAGAGAAGGGAGGAGTGAGAGGCGGCATATCAGAACACATGACAAAGGTTTCATGACAGTACTTTTGTTAGCTGTGATGTTATCTGCAAAACAAAATACCACAGATGGAGGGATAAGATGGTCAAGATGGACCTAGGCCAGTCTGGTCTCTTTTTTTGTACTCTGGTCACCTGAGAAATTATATGTATTGGTATGTATGTCTGAGAAGGGTGTTAACAAGACGCACGTGAGCGGAAACGGGTTGCGATGATTTGTAATGAGGATAATTTCGCTGTGTTAGCATGTTGGATGCATGCAACAACTTTTTGTGCCAATGTGTGAAAGTAATTATCAAAAAGAAAATTACACTAGAAATCCTAGACATGTTGGCAAAGTAATATAACATTATAAATTGAACTGAAAGCCATTATTCAAAAAATACATTTTGTCTCCAGTAGTAGACAGCTTAGCAATAGAAATGAATTATGAGAGCATAGTACAAGGAAGAGATGTTTTACCTCATTGTAGCTCAAAGAGCTTTTTATTACTTTAAAGCTCTTCTATTTTCAAGTGATGCTTTTTTCTTGTAAGAAGAAATTTCTCTTGTTTTTCACTTAGGCATATTCTTCAAATCCCCCAAAAAACTTGTAACAGTAAAATGAAGAAATTGGCAGGGATGAGCTATTTCCCTATATTCCCATGGCACATACAGAGCAATTCCTCTCTTTTTTCTCACAGTTTTGCACCTATGGTGGTCTGATAATACCTATAAGCTGACATGTTATGCTCTTTTATTGATTTTGTGATAAAACAAGTGGACTAGAAAAGCAAGGAGATCAGCCATGGGAATGGATTATTTTTAATTTTGTTTGACATTGTAATAGATTGAGTATCTAAATCCAGATGTACTGTTAAACTGTGTGGCTTTATTTCCCCCAGGTGCTTTGATGAAATTAGCAAGTATATAATTCTTATCACAAATTGCATTAAATGTAAAAACTCCCACAGTGCTATGTGTTCCTCCTGTAATTTTCCCATAAACTTAATAAGAATTCATCTGCAGATTGAGATAAATCGCCGATTAATCATGCTCCTCATGCAAAATTCAGATAGGATGTTACAAACAGTTTGGCAAGGCGGCATGAGCCTGCATTCCAATCGTGATCGATCTGTCTCAAGGTAAATAGACAGTCTGCGAGGTCTGAATAACAAGTTCTCATTTTGCACAATATGGCACGTTGACATGAGCTAGAGACAGGCTGCGGGCTTTTTTTAATCGAAGTCAAAAAAGCATGTGATATGTTCTTACATCGAAGTGTTGGTGCAGACAGGATGGAGTCAGACAAAGTCCATTAGTAGATTGACTCTACAATACCTGAATCACCTATTGCTCAAAAAAACCTATCACCAATGTAAAAAGCCTCTCGACAATAGTCTCACCAAAACAACAACAAAATCACCCTGGTCTGTTGAAAAATTAATTACTGTCTTAAAAAGGCACCAGACAAGTGAATTATCTTTTTGATTTCCCAGGATAAATAAATCTGTTAAGTCCTTTGGGGCATTACCAGAACAATGAGCAAATCACATTTGTTTGCTCTCAAAAAGAACCTGTTATCAAAAGAATCTATCAACCTAGAGGCTTGTCTTTTAATTCCCCAGGTAAATATTCAGATGCCCTGGTCCCTCCTTCACCCCTTGGACCAAGGTGTCACTGATAAGGAGCCCCTACACCCCTGGATTCTTCTGTTTTCCAGGCTATTGCTTCTACACACAGTAATATTGCCAAATATCCACAGGTCCCCATTGAACTAGAAATAGATACAATGGGACCTCAATCCCCCGCAACAGGGCGAAAACCGCAAGCCAAGTCTGCGGTTTTTGGCTGGTCTGGGATGTGTTGATTTAGCTACAAAGCAGAGAATATTACTAATAACCAGAAAGAAAGGGGTGTATTTATTTCCACCGAGCAACTGGAGTCAGAAAACATTAAAAGTCCCAGGGACGTCAAGCAGGCCATTATTTAGGGGGGTAGATGTCACAACAGATCCGGTGTTGTCAACTATCAAGGTGACGTTCTAATCAACTGAAAATAAAATGTGATAATAAGGGATCTGATCTTTGGTGTCTCTAAGTGCACCTTTAAAAAAAAGTCTCTTATCATGTGTCACTGAGTTAGGTAAGTTTAAGAAACGGTACTGATACTTTTAACAGTTCTTTTATTCTGATGAATGAGGGGCTGGCATTGTTGCCTTGTGTAACTTAAAACTGGTGACAGTAATACATGGAACTTTAGATCTTGTTCTATTTTGATGTTTTTGGTGTTGTATGCCCTGTTTGTTGTATAAACACTGAAACACCATGGAAAATACTATTTCATAAGTTTCTTAACTCTCATGTTCTTACACTTCAAAATTTCTTTCTCCTTTGGTGTTTCCCAACAGGAATGTGGGATTCTTAAAAGAGAAGATAATTACAGTGCCAAGCATTCTTGCAAATTTTTGGGCAGAGCCCACCTGTAGGTTGCACCCTGTAATTATGCTACATTGCTATGTAGCTGATTGTGAGGTCCCCCCCACTAAATTAAAACCCCATAATCAGGGTGTGCATCTCGATCCAGGTAACATGGCCCATGAATGAAAAAGGTATTTCCTCTTACTACAGAAATTTCCCCTAATTACTTTTCAAGTTTCGTGATGATACTTTTGCTACCTAAGGCGATGACTCAGGGCGGGAAGACATAAAGATAAGACCTAGGTGTGAGTCATGCCTTGGAGACTTTACCTCGACCAGACAGGAGGAAGAAATAAATAACACCTTTCGTTAAAAGTCCTTTGTATTGTCAAGTGCGGAAATAGTAATGTTTTCATTCATGAATTTGTTACAGTCAAATTTGACTTTTTAAAACAAAAATGTAGATTTGAAAGAACAAAGAAAAATTTGCATTTATTATTCTGGCAGAAGTAGTTTTGAGGTTTTATGGCCCATAGACATGCAACTACAGTGCAGAATCTGAGGGGTTAGATGGTGGTGGGGGGCGTCCTAATAGTTTTTCCAATAAAATGCTACCAGTGAGTGTATACCCTCCTCTAAGTCTACGCAATAACTTACACCTTTTTGATCCTCTGTATCAGATTGACTCCGCATTATGAACCTGAACGCATATTGTGCTGCGTCACCCTGCATCGAAAATCAATCGTATACTTTCTCCTCTGTGAGCATCCATGATTTCCAATGTGTTGCAGATTAATTAAACAGTAATGAACCGAAAAATGAACAAAACCAATTGATGATGACTTGTTGCAAGAATGTGGTGCCTTTGACAGTGGGCACAATTAGTGCATTGTGGACTTGTTTTCGTTTTGAATATCTAACAGGGGTTCCGTTATGAAAGACAGGAAGTTCATTTGGTCAATTTATGTACAGTAGCCAAGGTACTGGTAATTTGATTTCTTTTTTGTTACTTCAGACCCTAATACAAGCTTGCAATTACATTCAGCTATTTATTGAATAAATTTGCACAAAATTAATCCCTACTGTCCATTAGAGTTGACCCAGCTAATTAAGCAAGTCCACTTTCAAAAGATTTGTCAGCGACTCCAAAGTTATAATCGTCTGTTTATAGATTCAACATAATAAATGTAAGGAACAGTTAGGAATGGCAGAAACTATTTCAAAATCAATGGCTATCTTAACTTGACGTTGAGACGATAAATACTCGAGTCAGTTGGACAACAAACGGTGTCAAGCGGTACCCTGCATAAGGTGGTTTTGACAGGGGACCCTGTAGCTGTTTGTTTTTCTATCAGGTACCATGGGTATTGTCCAGCAATGAACAAGACATTAGGCAGTTCTGTACTTGTTACTTTTACAAATATGTCTGCTAAGAAGGTCAATACCTGACAAGGGATCTTTAGTCAGTAGAGGCCAGAAACTTCAGAATGACATAATGAAAAGTCTTACAGACAGGTACAATACAAGAAAAACAACTTCTGCTAAAAATAACTGATTGTTTCCAGTTTTGAATCCCTTTTTAACTCTGGCAATGTGTTTTTGCTGAACTTGGCGGCATTTCTGCCAACTGATGGAAGGGGAATCATATCCCTGGTTTGTTTATGCAATGAAACCAGCAAGGATAAGTTGGAATTTAAAAGAACAACAAAAGAAAAAATGCAATGTCCAACATTGACTGTTGTGTGTACATTTTGCACTCTGCACAGGAGCGGAAAGAAAAGAGCAATTT